GATGTTGTTTTGGTCGAAGAAGTCCAGATACTTCTGACTCATGTGAGCTCCTGACTGGTCTGTTCGGAATCGTTCTGGAGGACCAAAAGTTTGAAGCCATTGTTCACGAAGTATCTTAAGTTCAGCTTCTTCAGTTTCTCTCTCCAACACAGCATTGATTTCGTACTTGGAGTAGATGTCGAGGATGGCCAAAACCTTTCGCTTTTCTCCATTCCAGCGGATGTGAAAAACATCAGCTTCCAAACATTCATTGAAGTGACTGGCCTGAGGCAGTGAAGCTGGTTTCTCCAATTTCCGTTGTGCCTGTTGCTCACACACTTCACACTTGTAGTCTTTGGCACATCGGATCAGAGACTCATCCATACCTGCATCTTTGAGCGTTTTGATCATCCGATCTACACCTGGATGTCCAAGTTGCTTGTGCAGTTTGCTGATGACCTGTAGGTTTTGCTTGCTGTGGGTCTTCATCAGCTTCTTCTCTTCCTCAGTGATGTTGGATGCATTCTTCACTTTGTTTTTCTCATCCTGCTCTTCAACCATATAGATCTTGGCTATCTCTCTTTGTCGCCATCGTTCTTCCATCTCCTGATAGATGGCATTTGCTGCTCTTTTCACGAAGCCTCTTTCATAGTTTTGCATTTTCTTCAAGCTTTCTGCTTTTCCATCCATAGCAACATGCTCTCCAGGAAGACATTCACATGGAAGATCCAGTGCTTCAAAGACCATTTGGCTGTTTGTGCGAATCCTCGTAGGTTTCTTGACCTTTCCGACATAGTTTCCCATGCGATCATAGTAGCACAAACCGGTCCTGCATCGGTTGCAGATTGCATCATAACCATCCATGGACTCCAGGGTTTTCGTCTTCCATGACATAGCCAAATGAGGATGCTCCATGGCCATGCCGGCATTGATCTCCCAGTTGCAGATGTCGGTGACATCCAAAACCAGTTTCAAATGTTGCTTTTCTTCTTGCTTTTGCAATTCCAGGATGTAGGCTAGCTTTTCGGCCTTGATCATGTTGAGCCTTTGCATTGGTGACCATTTCGTACACGGTGGTGCACACCAGATAAAGTGAGGCTTTTGTTCTCTCACCAACTTGAGGAATGCTTTTCGGTCATTTTCTTTTTGAAAGTCCCAATGAGGTAGGCTGAAAGTAGCGACCTCACAGTCTGGAAAGCGTTTCAACAGTTCTGTAGCCAGGTTGCCTTCATCCACATAGACCTCAAAGAAGATCAATTTTCTTTCTTGTTGAAGGCGCTGCAAAACTTGTTGAGAAATCTCTTCAACTTCATTTGCTTCGGACTCCATGAGGATCTGCTCTGCAATGTCAGACGGTTCTGTCTCACAGGGCGGTTCAATTTCCAGTGGACTTGTCGTGATCAAAACCTCTTCTTCCATGATGTAGTTCATCTCTTGTTCGTCTTCATGATATTCCAACAAGTTCAAGACATAGTGGCCTTTTTGTCCACGACTTGGTTGAAACCATTCGGATTGAGCCACCTTCATGTTGCCACTGGCGTAGTCTTGTTTCACCCCCCATTGTTCCAGCATTGGTCTCGCCAACAGGAAGGGAGTGTGCCCAGGTACCACTGAAACCGTGATGGGCAGCTTTTGACCTTTCACCAAGGCGTTGAAGGAGATTTCGTAGTTGGATTCAAGCATCTCTCCGCCGCCGAACTTGAAGGATCGCTTTTGTGCCTGAGTACGGAGGGGTCCAAGTAGGCCTTCATCATAGTGCTCGACCCATTCTTTCCACACTTCTTCTCCGACCAGTGTTCTTGTTGCACCTGAATCCACAATTGCATGACCAGGAGCAAGGGTGGCAAAGAAGATGTCCTCTTGAAAGCACTCTTCCGCTAGTTCCTCCACCATGGTCACCTCTTCACCTCCAACTTCTTTGACACCTTGTGCTTGCACTCGATATCGTTTGAACCTCGGTCCATGAGAAGAATTGGAACCGGTCAGGGTTGATCTCAACTCGGAGGAGGTAGTGGTCGACGATGATGGTGGCTTTCGAAGACCATGCATTGGGCGTCGAGGAAACATGCTTTTTCCTTTGCCTTTTCCTTTTCCTTTTCCTTTACTCTTTCCTTTGCCCTTTGAGCTTCCCTTTCTTTCGCTTTTGCCTCCTTTGCCATGATCAAAGTCAGGACCAATGGCTACGACGGGGTAGAAGCCACGAGCCAAGGCAAGTTCCTTCATTCTTTTCCTTGATTCCTAATAGGAGATGTAGGCTTCATCCATGTTTTCGTATGCTTCTTCAAGCTCCTCAGGGATTTCTTCTTCATCTTCATCACCTTCATAGTAGATTTCATGCCAATCATCTTCTTCTTCTCCTTCGTAGTAGAACTCCTCATCAAAGTCTTCCTCATAGAAGAACTCATCTTTGGATGACTTGGCAACAGGTCCAATGTCCTTGGTGTTTGGTTTGTGATCTCCACCAAACATTCGAAGCAAAGCTCGTTGGACCTCTTCATAGTCAAGCTCGCCTTTGCGCAATGCTTTCACTTGCACGTGTGTCCATTTTGGAGTTCCACTTCGGGTCAACAAGTGCCATCCAGCAAGAAGTGGTGGAATGTCGATCTTGACCTCTCGAAGTTTCTTCAAAGCAGTGCGGTGGCGAATGAGGTATGCCTGCATTTCTTCTCCCTTCTGACGATTGAAGCTTTGAAAGAACTCTTCGCACCGATATGGAACCTCGATTTGTTCTTCATATTGAAAGAGCTGGTCCATCATGGTGAACAAAGGTGCGAAAGGATTTGTTCCACTTGTGATTTCTTTCAAATCTATTTGTTCTGCTGCATCCCAAACAGTGTCCTTGAGGAGGCTGATGACCAAAAGAGCACCTTCAATCTCAGCGTCCGTTGAGCGTCGACGACACTGCAGGGCATACAATTCCAATCGTCTTCTGTAGCTGCGATAGCCACTTTGCGTTAGCCCCTCGGCCGATGGTGCGGCCTTTGCCAAGCCACTATCCAATCCACGATAGTTGTTGGAGCCAGAGGAGGGAGTTCCTGGGCTTGCTCCATTCGCTGCACGTGGAGGAGAAGGAGGTATGGGGACATCAACTGGTTGTTCACCTTCTGGTCTATCTCGCTGTCTTCTTTGCTGACCACTCATTTGTGACTGCCTTGCTGAACGTGATCTTTAAGATGAGCCAATTCTCACCGGCCAGGATTACCCTATAGGCGTCTTCAAACAAAAAGTTCACCCTGGTCAAATTCCGGGAGGATCGTCTTGGGCTCCGCTACCAATGTCGAAGTACTTGAACTCACGAAGTTCCAAGCAACCAAAGAAAAAGAACTCGAAGGCCGCGATGCGTCCTTTCTTCAATGCCAAGTGAATGGCGAAGGTCGTCGCCGCTGGTGACTCAAGGGCCCTTCGGCCGGGGAGATTCGAGAAATCATATCGCGGTGCGGCGATGCAATGCCGTCTATCCGCAACTGAAAGAAAGCAAAATGAAATTGAAATCACATTCAAATCTAATGAGCATTCGTCACATTAACATATATATATAGACTACATCGTCCAATCACCCCGAGATTCCTCGTTTTCTGAACAGTTGTCTCTGCAGCAGGCAGCCTCGGTCCCTGAACCAGGCGGTTCGGTTCGGTGGTCTGACGGCTCTCTTCTTTGCAGATGGAACACATGAACACATCGAATCTCCTATTTCTAGTGCTGGCGCTAGCTAAGACAGCGTGGCGAGGCCCGAAAGCTCTTTGAACTTTTACAAGGAAGCTTTGCCACAATGGTGAAGTGTTGTTATCTTGTCGCAAGAGGTTCTTCTTCATTCTGATTGCTTATTTCTTGTCGCATGTGTTCGCTTGAGGAAGATCAAAGACCAAAAAAAAATGCCATTCCTGTCTTGGATTGCTTGGATTCCCTAGCTATTGCAAAGTATATGGTGGATCAAGGTTTCCACTGATGCAACAGGGCATCGCAGGTAAGAAGACGCGTGAGACACACTCACCATAAGAAGCACGAGGCCAGTCGAGATTTAATCCATTGCAAACCAACATCTCCAGCAAAAAGTCCAATCAAGAGGGAGGCGCGACCGACAGCCCTTCAGTCTTCGGATCCAAAATTTGCCGTCGACAGCCCCACGTGAACCTGCTCATCCTCCACCTCGTATAGTGCGGTTGAAGAGTGTGATACCAAGAGAAAGGCAACAAAGGTTGAGTTCAACGCCTGCGGATCTTCAAAAGAGATTCTAACAGAAAGGGCCCCAGGACGAAGAAAGAGGTTGCCTGGAAGTTCTCAAACCACCCCAGGCAGTGGGGTTTCATGCTGGTGGCTTTTCACCCACAACCAAGGGCCGGCCGAGAGCAGTCCAAGAAGTCCTTTTGTGTCGCGCCACCTTCCTGAGGTCTGCAACCAATTTGACGTCCCTTCCGAAACGGTTCGGTTTGGGAAGGAGGCTCACATAGGTTGTTGGGTTCGTCGTTCCACCTGCGAGAGTTGGAGGGACTGCAGTTCTGGCATTTGACATTTTTCAGATGAAGAAAGGAATATTGTGATGTGAACATTGTATGATGTGAATGTGAACATTGCACATGGTATTCAATCACATAATACACCAATATACACCAGATACCTTGTAGGATTATGATGTGAACATTACATTTGGTGGATGCCTTGAAAACATCCCGTGCATTCGCCCGTCTCAGACCTTCCGTCCAACACATTACCGCGCAAAGGGCTCTGATGTTTTTTGCCGTGCTTTAGAGGACAGAATCCATGCCAATGAAACATTATATCGAGTGAACTTTTAGAGTTATACATTACAGTATATAGAATATGATAGGATCATAGAATTTCTTACCCTAGGCCTCCAAGTACCTTCTGAGAAGGTGTTTGGGGTGGGTTTGGAGGGTCCAAATACCTTCTGAGGAGGTACTTGGAGGTGTAGGGTAAAAGGGCATTCACTCTTTTCTGCTATTTTTTGGTTCACGACCTCCACGGGTGGGTGGCCATTGTCTCAGGAAGGAGTGGAACGGGAGATGCAGCAAGCCAACAAAGCGCAGGCCTAGAACTGGAGAGCTGTCTCTTGACTTGTTGGGTTAGATGTTAACCTTTTGGATCGTGACAATTGAAGAGAAACCACAAATTCAATAGCTCTGGATAGAACAGCGAAACTGTTGATATTTATCTTACGTTCAAAAGACTGAAGGCCAAACTTGTGTGTTCATGTTGTGTTTTGTTCAATCATGATTTTCGCAAAATACAGATCACTGAGGTCGCAGGCCCGCCATTTACTTCTAATTTCTTTTCAGAACATGCTCACTTTCGATCACCTTCGGTGGTTCTAGGCAACTAGTGGCGTTTGCGACCTTCTTTGTCCGAGTGCCGTTTTCGTTAGCTAGACGCTGGGCGTCAAACATCATTGATGTTCCTGGCGCTCCATGATGGCGATGCATTCGCAGGAGTATGTGCAGAACGACATGACCGAGTTTCAGCAAGCCATGGAGTGGCTCGACCATGGTTTGGGCCACCGGGAGCCCATTTTGTTGGGCGGTGCCGTTTTTTGAAGGGCACACGAGGTTGGCCCTCCCGTGAGAAAGACTCCAAAAGCACCGGCTGTATAAGATAGAGGCGTCGATTCGGCCTTCGATGGTTTTCTTCCCCAAACCATTGGAATCCCAGATGACCACGGTGATACAGAGCTTGGGCTAATGTTTGTACCAACTTGAAACCTCGCATGGGGGACGATGATCTTAGCAGCTATCCAATGCAATGGTGTGAAGGAAAACGACTCAGACTCAGGAATCACGCCCAGGTGTTTTAGTTTTTTTTTTAAAATCCAGATTGGAGGTCTCCATGATTTGGAGATAGGAACAACTGATTGTCACATGCGTATCTCAGTATCTTTGCTATCGATACTTTTGGGGATGAACCGTTCTTCAAAGCGATTTGCAACCCCCGATGGTTCGACCACTCAGGTAAAGACTCGTTAAGTTTAGTCCCCATTTCTGAATGGAGTCCAGGAAGATGCCACTGGTGCTGGTATATCCCAACGACATCCCAAGACGCCGATGATGTAGGGCCTGGGCCTGGGCCAGGAGCACTGAGTATGCCTCTCCCCAGTCTGAGTCGGGGGCTGCAGGGTATTGCTTTTCATCTGCGGCAGGCAAGCCCAGCAGCGCTTGAAAACAGAGCTGCAGAGTCGCTTGGAGGCGTGACCACCCAGTGACCAAGACACCGGCTGGACGAAGTCGGCCTCAGCACGGATGGAGAGGGAGCCGAGGGCTTTTTTGGGTTTGAATCTGATGAGAGAACAGTGGAATCGGAAGAACTGTTTGGTTAGTTGGTGGAAGAGGATTTGTGTCACATGGGGCCAGATCCTGCCGGCAGCTTCAGATAGGACATCGCCAACATGATGCTGTTTTATGATGCTTTAAGATGCTTTAAGTATTTTGAAGTGTTTTTCCCTTGGGAAGGTCCGCGCAATACGGGATATTTTACTAGAATCAAGAATGTTTCAGAGTCGCCGCATCTTTTTAGAGCCCCTCAGCCATCCCACCATTGGAGCCGGCCATCTCGGGTCTTGGAAATTGAATCGGACCCACCATAGATTTGCACTCTTAGTCCACCCACCGGAAGCGGTGCTATCAGATATTGGATGGCAACATAGATGCGAAGAGAGGTTTTTTCGGAGCATGTACGAACTCCGTGGCGGTCCATGACATGTTTGGATCAAACTCTGCTAGATAGGATCCCTACACCTCCAAGTACCTCCTCAGAAGGTATTCGGACCCTCCAAACCCACCCCGAACACCTTCTCAGAAGGTACTTGGAGGCCTAGGGGATTAGCTTTCCCAGTTCCATTGACCCGATTCTGCCAGGAGAGTCGTGCAGCGCTCGAGAAGCAGACCCGAAGCCTGTGCGTCCTGCAGCACAGCCGCCAGGAGGGACATGGCGTTGTTGGCTTTGGCTTTGGTGACTTGTGTGCGTGAATGTGGGATGATGTGCTTGGGTCATGGCCCAAAGATGTTCAGACCCAGCATGGTCTTGAGTGTTGTTTGTTTTCCCGAGGGCTTCTGGGTACCTGTGAGATGTGGCTCCCCTAGGAATATATTGGATGATGTTTGTCTTGGAAAGTTGATTCTCAAGCAGGCCTCTCAAGAGTTAGCGTTTGTCAGGATTTCAAAAGCCAAGACAATGGCCTGTTGGCTACCTGTCCGATTTGTTGTTTGCTGATTGTCCAAAAAGTATCAAACCCGGGTTGCTTGCTTCCTTGTTTGCTCAATTGCTTTGTGACCTGCAACCTTGCTGCCCTGAACGGCTCGCTGGTTTGTAGCTCCTTTGCCTTGCAACGCTCTATTGCATCGGTTTCTTGTTTGCTTGCCTTGATTGACCCTACTACTTCACCATGTTGGTAACTAACAAATTGATTTCAATTGGAGACATCCAGACGGGCTCTATTAGATGTAGACCGGTCGTAACGAGTCAACGAGACCCCTGAAGGCCGGCTTTGGAAGTCGGCTTTTTGGAACGGTGGTCCGTCGAAGTGATAGAACACATACTCTCCCTAGAACGTCCTCATGGAAGTGGACTTCACCACCTGTTTGTAGTGGATTCCATGGTCTTCCTTACGGGGCCAGGCCGTCCACGTAACCATGTGAGTTCCAGGAAGTGTACATGCCTGTGTGTCATGGCGCTCGGGGACCCGTCGGTGGATCAACGAGAATAGACGAGAATGGCACAGTCGGTCAAACGACGGACCGAGGGATTTAGAGCTCAAAGCGCTCAAAGGGTCAAACGACCCACAGCCATATCACACAAAGGAACAGAAGACACCATCGTTGCTGATTCGTTCCATGCGTCACATGCCATGAACTCGATCTTTTGCAACGGAAGAATGAGATGGAGAAGCTGGTGATGGCCGACGGTTCAAGAACCATGTTCTTGGACACCATCGTTTTAGAGGCACATCACCTGGAGGTCAAAGATGGTTGTTTTAGCTCCGCATCGACTTCTGTGATGGTGAGCTTGGCAGCAATGACGACAGACCGGCAGGCGTCAGCCTCCCTTGGGACGTGTCTAGCCATGAACTTTTGCAGAGATCACCTTGAAGGACCTTGGCCACTCCAGCTGCGCCCCAACTTGATCACAAGGACGAAGGAGTGGGCGAACCATTCTGAGGCACGAACCGTGCACAAGTTCATCGAGCATTGAGGCTCAGCACCTGAGTGGTGCATTGAGGATCAGCGCTTTGGCTCGTTGGAGGTCGATTTCGGCCGCAAACTCGAGCACTCGAGCCATGATACAGCGGCGAAGCTCTCCGGCGCCAAACGCTCTTGCGCGGAGTGCGGCAACTGCGCATCCCGGGAAGGCTTGGAGGAAAGCTGCTTAATTTAGGGTTGTTCCCTACTGTACGTGATCTCTTTTTTACTGAGACCAGGCCAATCAAGTTCGGTCACTGGGAGGATCCGGGCAGAGAGTTTTCATGTGATCATCACAGTGTGCTACGGTTTGAGACAGAACAGACGAAGATGGACAGATGATGACAGATGTATATTCTCAAGGCGGGCAATGAGAGTCTCTCTGAACTCAGAACATTTCACGATCACACTTTGTTTCAATGAATGAAGGGTGGGCGCTTTCTGTTTGGGATAGACTCTGCAAATTATCGATGGAGCAAACCACAATTCCAGATCCCTTGTTGCTGGCAGACGAACCAACAGTCACAGTGAGACCTGTCTTACGAACAAAAACGTCGGACTCCGTTGAACTGTCGGCTAAAGGTGTTCGATGGTTTTCGCTGAACAATTCCCAATTTACAAGGCAGGCTAACGAGCGTGATCGCGCCATTGGCAAGATCATGCAAGATCCCAAAGCTTCTCCTTGTGGCATTCCCCGTCAAAGGTGCAAGAACCGCCGGTCCACCCGGACCTCAAAGAACGGGTTTTGCGGTCCAATGGCAACTTGTTGTTGAAAAGATCTTGAATTATTGTGGTCAATGGCCACACGCATGCAATGCCAAGCAATCTTTAGACAACATGCATGCCGCCAGATGGGGTTTTGATCCACGGCCCAATTACTTGATCGTTGTTGAGCTGTTTTTTTGTTCTTTGTTTGTGTTGATGGTGGGTTGTTGTTGTTTCTTATATTTTTGATTGCTCCAAACACGTGTTTGTTTGACTTCTCCTCTCCCATGGCCCATAGCAGTACAATTCGTACACTTTATGTTGAGAGGATTTACCTAAACACCCCGCCGCCGCCCTGCTCCCCTTCCGGGCTCGTGTTAGCACCTTGATGTTTGGCTTTGCGAGGACATCGAGCATGCCATTGAGGGAATGAAACGGGAGCTGGCGAAGGAGCAGTGTGGGCCGGCCATGTGCTGGCCATTGCGGTGAGGTTGATGTGAGGTGGGGTGATGGTTATCGGCGGTTCTCGGTGATTGTGATTGCAGTGTTTCTCTTTGGACAGAATTGGTTTGCTTAGTGCTTTGTAGAGTCAGAATCCTGCAGTTGGAGCTTGTTGGTGGCTACCCTTTCATACATGACCCCTCATTCGAGACGTGAGATTGACAGGACACGGACACGCCGAAGTCCAGAACAACCCAACATTTTGAGTCCAAAACTCGTTAGTTTAAACATGTTTAAACACAAGGCCCCTTTTTGAAAGCCCTCGAGCCAATGAAATTGATCTCGGCCATATCATGTGTTCAGTGTTGTTCTTATAAATTGAAAGGTGCCACACCGTGTGGAACATGTGTGGAACGACCAACTCGCGTGACTTCTGGTAGATAGGATCACGTCTCCAATCCGCTGAAGGGAGAAGTGCATTGCAGAGCTTCTCATAATGTTTGCCACCATCCGTACAGGGCATCCGTCTCCGGATCCAAGTTCACCAAGAAAAAGCCCTTCATTCGACTGGTCCGGGGAGAATCCTGGAGGTTGGCATCGTCTTGCACCACCAGCCCTCTTTGTCTCAAGAAATGAACCTTCTGAAGATTTATGATTTTTTGAACGCGACCAGCAAAATGGTCATTTACCATGCGAGTGGCACGTTTTCTGCCTCTGTCTTTTGTCAGGAAAGGCCCCTCAATCACCAGCGCAAACATCGAGGAAACAGTCTCGGAAACAGTTGTTTTGTTTCTACTCGTACTATGGGAACAGAGGCAAGTGTAAGGTGAACTCCGACTGGAGCGGCGACGCTTTCTGTCCACCATCATCCACACTCGCACAAGTCATAGATTCAGACCTCGGTCCGACCAACACTCCGAGGTCCGACCAGCCAGTGGTGGAAGTGAACATGGCCACAAACATGAAAGCCCTGGAACCGGGGGAAGATTCCGAACCACCATGAACATGGTGCAACCAGTGCTTCCAGTTCGACCAAACCACCGAGCGAATGCTTCGTCCTGGAACCGTGGCTGCCTGGGATCCTTTGGGCCGACGAGAGTCGGGTCCTGGTGGGTGCGATGAAACGAAACAGGTGGCTTAAACAAAGGATCCGGGCACACAGAGATGGTACACTTCATTTGGAAGTTGGTCTTTTTGTGTTTTACTTTGTTGCACCTGAGTGATCCAAAAAGATGGGTTGTGCCCTAACATGCCGGATTCCAGTATATATGTATATGCATATATAAACTATATATACACGGTGTTTAGACGGGTTGTACCCACAGCCTACAGGAGTTTCACAACTGTAACCGCCCTCTACCGAAAAGATCTACAATCTGGGAGATAAATGTATTCCAGAGCCTCCAAAAACCAGACTGTTTTGACTTTTGACTGAATGGATCTGAGTCTGGCTGACCCTGTCCCCAAATCCCCTCAAAGAACAATGCCATCCAGGAGAAGGCTGCAGCCAGTACAGCGGCCAGCGCAGCTGCAAGTGCTGCTGAGGAGGCGGTTTTGGCGTATTTGACCTTATTTTCTGTGCGCTTGCTCTTCCTCTTGACCATGCCAAAGCCAAGGAAGCTGTGGTAGAAAAGCAACAATTGAGGTGTTTGATGAATTTTGCACAACTGTTTTGTGTGTTCATGAGAAAATCTTGTGGTCCCCAACCGTGGTCCCCAACAGGAGGCCTAAGCACTCCTGATTATATACATAATGATAACACAGGGGATGTTCTTTCTTTCTGGTTTGGTGTCTCCATAGACATGATGGAAGGTTGAGTGTTGTCAATCCAGAGTCCGAGACCATCACTCAGTGAACTCAAGATCCAGATCGGCCATGTTTGCACATCATGATACCTGTTGGTAAGGGAGCTGGTCTACCCGCATTTGATCTTCGCACCCACTAACAGTCCAAACAGTTTTGTTTTGGACTGGGACATTGCTTCATCTTCACACGGATGGAGAACAGTTGGGGGGAAGTCGTTTTCTGCTGGAGAGAGACTTTCCAGGTTGGTGTTCAATGTCAAGACCATGTTTTTCCCTGAAACAAACCGCATTCCCTCCTTTTGTTCTGCAACTAGCACATAAATGGTATTGGGGGTTGACAGAATATTGCCCTGAGAAATAAGGTAGGACCCGGTGACTATTGCTGTTATGGTTCCTGAAAGGTTTTGATCACAAAGTGGACAGATCCACAAACATTGACAGGGGCAATAGACCATGTCCAAGAGCTTCTAAGCTGTTTGTTTGCACCCACAATCACCACACAAGAAACAACAAATTGACTCAATGCTTACCGCCTATGCCTATGCAGATGTCCTATATGGCTGTGGGTCAAAAGCAGGAGCCGTAAACTCTGGTAGGTTGACTGACTAGTCAGGTCGTCCATTCCGTTCATGTTCTTTGATCAACCCAAGTAGCTCGGTTTTGACCCACACTCATAATATAGTTTGGACATGTTTGGACCGGCAAAATAGACTATACATGTTCATCACCTGCTGGAAATCGCTCACGTCGGGAGATGTGCTCACGTAGTACTGATGTTTTGTCCACGCCCTGAATGTTCGTATGAGGTTTCCTTAGCTGGTCTTGTGGGGACGAGTTGTTTTTTTTGTTGTTGGGTATACCATATACATACATCTATATCCCGCAGAAAGTGATGAACAGGGGACTGCCAACCACGCAAGACGATGTGGTCCCTTCTGCAGGCTGCCCACTCAGCCACGAGCGCTGTTGAGGCCACCAAGGACGGGATTTGCGGCTGGGAGGAGCTGCCCTTTCCTGCAACTGCAGTCTGTCCCAGTAAAGCCTGGTCCTAAAACCCTCCTTGAGTAGTGTTTTTGTATGACCAAGTCCAGTAAAATTAGGTTTTTGACCTGTAGGGATTCTTGACATGCTACAAAACAGGCAGGGGTTGATTTGCCTTCGAGATTCCGAATGTATTTTTTACAGAATGGTTCATCCTCAGATTCCATGCTTTGTTTTTTCTTTCAGTGTTCTTCGATGCATCTACCCTCGACCCACTAATACTGACTATATGTGCATGATATATGTAGTATTCTCCCGAAAAGTGTAACACCCTAGTGAAAACAAGGTTCCAAGAGAAAGCACAATGTTCAGAAAACAACGGGGAGTTCAGTTTCCGAAACCATTCTCAGTTCCAAATTGGACACCACCTGGCTTCAATGATAACTGGTCTTCATGACATGTCTGGTTTTCACACTTCAGGAGGCCCTTCAGGAGCAGGCCAAGCAGAAGGAAGAGCTTCTGAAGAACTTCGACACCTGGAAATTGGAGGCGCTTTCGCACCGCCTCGAGCGACCAGTCGACCGATCCCAGTGGACGAGCCCGGAGAAGCCCGAGACAACCCCGGTTGGAGGCCCGAGGCGTGAGGCCTGATCGGCGTGTGGTCGGTTGGTTTGACATGTTCTGTTTGGGATAATTCTGTAGTAAATGAATGTAAATGATGTAAATGTCCTTTTGGCCACATGGTGTTCAGGACCGATCCTACTTTGAATGCCCTACCTGCCAGGAAACCTTACTGCAGGAAAATCTTCAATCCAGATCAAAACCAAGAATTTCAGGATCATTCTGAGACCCCTAAAAACACTCAAAAACACCGCTGAAACTACCGCCCTCAGGCGCTGGAGGAGGCGGCGCGGAGGGTCCTCGAAGCACAGGAGGTGGCCGTGGGAGATCTCATGAAGACCATGGATCGTCACCGTTACCAGACCAAGGCAGCTGTGATGCGACCGCCCGCGCGTGTCGTGCGGGACACGCGACAGCGACAGCCCTGTCCCCGTGGCGTGCGCACTCGTGCACACAGCCCGGTCGTGGGGAGTAGTGCAGAGTGCATGGATCAAGTGATGGAAAGGTGGCTAAGATGGAAGAGCGACCTGTATGGATTCATTCGTCACCTGTCGTACCTTTAAAAGGGACATATGAGGAATCGTGATGAACCAATACAAGCTTTGCTGGGCAGAACAGCCGCAACAAGCTCCACCAGCGGTGCCAGCCCACCATCGTGGATTTCTAGGCTTAAAAGGTTTGCGTCGATGGGTATTGAAGTTCTTGAGATGGCCACAGCCATCCGGATGAGCTGCCCGCCAAATGCCAGGAAGACACCTTGAAGACCAGGGAGGAACTTCTACAGGTCATGACAAGCAACAACAATCTCTTCGATGGAAAAGTCACTTGTCTTGTGAAGATGGCGTACTCCTAGGGACCTAGCCAGTATCTAAGCTGGTGTGATTTCGGCTGCGATGCCTGGACTGCGATGTGTTCTTAAAACGCTGAGGGTGATTCCCAGCCTTTTTTTAACAAGTGCTGATCAAGTACTATAACTATTAATGGTTCCTTTCTAAATAGTATACAGTCCAGGGGCAGTTGTGATGAAAGGATTCACCGATATTCAAAGAAGTGGAATTCCACTCAAACTCAATCCAGTTGCCGGTGGGGCCCGGGGCCTGCAGTCCGGCCAACCCATTTGGCACAACCATTCGTTCCACCTGCTGGGCACGTTTCAGGCAGTGTGATACGATGTCCTTGTATGTCCTTGTTGAAGCCAAAGGAGTCATGCCTTATCTATCATAGAAATATTAAAGATATGCCTGCAGGGACCCACAAAGTATTGAATAGATATCTCTAATATATATATATATACACAATATAATATATATATATGTTACAATATATAATATATATGATATATACAATATAAACCGTCCGTGATATACCATGCATTGTATTGTTTAGTTGCTGACACATTGTTGTTGCTTTTTGAAAGCATGGCCCTGAGTCCAGGACATGGTCATTTGGTGTTTGGACCCACATTCAGTTTGTCCATTTGCATAAAAAGTAGCTCATTCTTCCAAGCCCATTGATGAAAGGGACAATAGGGGACACGCCATGGGACCTTGATGGATTTTGCATCACTGAGGCCTGCCGGCAGTAATTTGGTTGACTATAGCCATAAACAAGTGGTCCCCCCCAACACTCCAACGCATAAGTGGATGGTGCATGATCCTTTTTCACGGAACCTCCCAGTCTGACCCGAAGAACCGAGGCCGAACTCCTGCCAGCTTTCGGCCGTCGCGAGTCGGGCGCGTCACGCAAGATCCGAGGTGGTGGATTTGCAACAGCGGCTTCAGCTGCTGGCCATGGAGGCTGGAAGGCGCGGCCAGCCCCGCGACATGAGCCACCCAGAAGTGAATCAGGTTCCTCTAGAAGTACTGTGCCAGGTGTTTTACCGCAAGTACCATGTTGTGGAAAAGTTCGTAAAGTCATGTAAATTCTATTTGCACGTCCGAATTTCCATGTTTTGTTTGCTTGTAAAACCTCTACAAGAGCCGCCTTGGCATCAAGTTGCTTTGCTTTGAGCTCAAAACATTCCTCCAAAAAAGCACCACCTTTGGCAGACGCCTGCAAGCAACGGCGTGGGAGCCGCGTGAAACACGCTGAACACGTTTCAGCTGCGTGCAGCTGCGTGCAACGCGTGGCCTCAGGTCCTTGGGAGATCTCAATGGAGACTTGGAGCGTTTGCGACGTGGAGATTCCACTCTGCAGGACCTGCGACCTCTGAAGTGGAGGTCTTTTGTAGAGGAAACCCCATCAACCAGGACCTCTGTAGGACTCTTGATGATCCACTGAATTATTGGTATCATTTTTTGTTGCAGCTGTTATTATGACTCCGAGGCCACTCAAATGGCCACTGAGTTTGCATAATATATATAATACATGTACAATTATTGACTCGTTGCTGATGAAGATAATCAAGGGACAGCGGTACTGGGTGGAGTACATCGATTCCTTAGTTAAATGTTGCAACTGTCGCTCGAAGTCACGACCAAGCTCAAAAACCTCACGCTATAGAGTTTGGCTGTGGTGGAATATCAGTTTGGATTCCATGCCAGTTTACCGTTTCTTCTCTTGGTTTTGGGTTCATAAATGTTGGTTGTTGTTGTTGCTGTTGTTGTTGTGGTGGTGGATCTGGATGGTTGAAGGTTGGAGAATGGTTTCGTTTTCCACATAGCTATATAAGGTCCGTAATTTTTGGTGTGCTGCACTGTGCAACAGGCAAGCAATTGTGTTCGAATTATGCAGCGAAATCAAACGCACACCATGTTTTTTGGCAAAGAACTTGCTCAAGGTAAATCGCCAGTGAGGAGGAGGATGGGCAATTTATTTGACTTGCTGATGCAGTCATGAGGCCCAAACCTTGCTGAGTGTTTTTTTCCCGATTGCGACAGCACCATACGCATTCCCTATACACAACCCGCATATTGCCGATTGATCCAACAGATGAAAAGATGCAGGCTTTGGGGATCGCTATCTCTCAACCAGATGGATGCCTATGCGAGAATTGGTCGGAGTCAATGTGTTGTGGGTATCCGACCATGGAGAAGGATGCAGTTGTGGCTATGAACACCGACAAGACCCTTATATAATTCAAGACAGGTGAGCTCACAAAGATCCACACTGCATACCAAGCTCAGCTCGGCTGAAAATAGAACTCGTCCAGTGAGGAACTCAGCATATGAAAACTACCTTCTCCTTTTGCAGATCTCCAGCATGTGTATATATGTATGCTTCACACAATTTAACACAGAGCTCGGGGCACCAAATATGGAATGTCCTTGTGATATTCCCCCAGCACGGAAAGTAACTAAGGTGAAGGGCAACAACAACTTTGTTGTGTCCAACAAGTTACGGGCGAAATGATAAGTATATTGACATTGACTATAATATACACAAACTTCAGGAGACCGTTGATCCGTTTGATCCTGCACTTTTACAGAAGATATCATTGTGTTGTTGTTGCTGCGATTCTTGCGGCTGAGGGTTGTCGTCGTCGTCGTTGTTGCTGCTCAAAGCCCTGCTTTTTCCCGTTTCTACTAACCATCCATAACCGTCCAGCATACGCCAGCACAGCAGTGGGTGTTGAATCTCTCAGACTCTGTATATATCCGCTGTGAAGCTCTCTTTTAGATTCCATCCCCCTGTGAAACTCGACCTGTCACACCTCGAGCTCCCGGTGGCCGCACGGGGACGTCCATGGAGCATCGGTGGATCGACAGAGCGACGTCCGTTCAGAGCAACAAATGGGACTGGAATATAATGGAATGTATGCCGTTATATGTCATTGACCCCAGGTCAACCACCCAGGTAAATCTGCCTGTTTCTGGAGGCTTTTTCCTGTGCGTTGGGACTCCACCCGGGCTCCACAGACCGCTCCAAGAGGGTGGCCGGACCGCTCCAGCTCGCCTTGGCCTTGTCTCCAGGAGAGCACCTTGGACTTGACCTTACCCGGGCTCCGTGACCTCCGCGGCGCCGTCACCGATGAGCAGAAGCGCCGCCATCAGGAGGCACAACGGCTCGGGGAGCGGCTGCAGGAGCCCGGGGAAGGCGGGTTTCGGCAGCGGACTGTGGAAAAGATGAACACAGAAAGATGCTTATTAGTGTTTATAAGACTAATAGGACTACAATCAGAAGTGTGCTTGTGTGTGGTTTTGTTATGTTTGGTCTTCTGGGGCAGATGGGTAAGTCGGTAAGTCAAGTCTAATCAGCGTCACCCCTTTCAGATTCTTCTGTTTGTAATATCATGTAATATCGAATATTATTGAATTAATCATGCATGTATGTTTGAAGAGGATTTTCCATGACATGTGCAACATCGGATGTTCTTTGAGCTGTCCAGCCTGCCCACTTCGCAACGGAATGAGGAGCAATGCCGTGACCACAAACTCGGCTCTGGAGGAAGGCTTTCACAATATCAGGAGCGACGCTTCCCACCGGGCGACGAGTCCGGAAGACCGGTCCCGAAGTTCGGGAGGGCGGTTGGAGAGGCTGCGTTGGTGGATGACCTTGATGTGGGGCTGTTGAAGATGTTACTTTATCCTATTGGATAGAGATATGAATTTGGAGATGTTCAAAGGTCGGGTGAAAAAGAAGCTCTCGTGGCTTTTTCATCAAGCAAGAGTGAGCTTGCAAACACAACATGTTGTCGCGAGCTCGTTTGGGTGTGTCCGATGATAAGCATCCGAGCCTGTGCGAACAGTAGACTCATGTGGACCCAGCCCTGCCCCACTGGTCTGACAAACCTGGCCACCCCAGTTGTGTGACAACATGCTGACATTCCAGTTCTTTCACATCATTCAGGCTCCCGGCTCCTGCATCCCTGTTATTGAAGGCTTTTGTTGGAAGTGTTCCCTTTTTTCAACCAATGAGGTCACAACTCTTGAGCATTCAGAAATCAACTGGCTCTGGTCATTCCCCGCAGTAAAAAACCTTAACATCAAAACCATAAACAAAATCTCTTTGTTTCATGAACACACCCTGGGGATACCACGCTCATAAACACCCGGGGCACGATCACGCAGGAGCCAAGTCATGAGGAGAAGGTCTCCTTCACCGTGCTTGATGGTTTGAAGGGCTGCGAGGTTTGCTACGTCGTGCGCGATAGCCCGAAAATCGTCGTCCTGCATTGCGTCCTGTGGCGCATCGGCGCATCGGGATGCGTCGCCCGTGATAGAATGCCCCTGTGGTTGTTTGGTTAGAATCCAATGGTGAGAACCAAGAGAGGCTTGACTCTTTTTGTTTGGCATTTTTCCCAGAACTACATAGCTTGCAAACAGATTATAAATATAGCATATTCAACACTAAATGTTGTGTGTTGTTTGTTGTTTATTGCTCATGTGTTTCTTAGTGGTTGTGGTTGTGGTTCTCATTGTGGTATTGTTGCTTTTGTTGTTGTTGCTGCTGTGGTTTACACATGTTGATTCGTCAGTGGCCTTGCAGGTTTTAAACCCTACCACCACGTGTTTCAGTACAACTTGTGCAACCGTTCACAATGCCTTGGGGGTGCTAAGTCACTACCGCTATATGTGGTTCCATATCTAGACGTTCTTTTGTTATTCGTTTGCATATGAGGTCGGGCCAGTTCTATTTTCTATGACCTACATATATGGCCGTGTGGACTGCATTACATCACATAGGCTCAGTACGAGATGCTTTGGAACAATAATTACATATGACACCTTTTTATACTGGCCATACTGGCCATGCCTCACCCTTCACTTCAAGAAGTCTTCATGATTTGGACAGAGCATGTCCAAGCATCATTGGTTGACCCGGCTCAGACTCGAAAAACATCTCAATTCAGGTGACCGAAAAAAAAATGACTTGACGGTGGGGAGGGATCAGAATCCAACCCTCCGACCAAAGTGGCACACGGAAGTGGAGTCACAACCCGGTTCTTTGTTTCGGGGCCCATGTTCCCCGTGTGATGTCGTCAGAATCCTAGGTCCAACGGCACCCCTTCGTTCTCACTGTCGGAAGGAACTGGGAACTGGATAAATCAGACTCCTACAGCCTACACTCATCCGGTGTATACACTCCGAATCACTCCGAGATGTGTTCGAACCCGAATCATTGGGTTTACTCCATTTCGACGTCCAGTCGCTCTCGGGCGAACTGCCAAGATCGAAGCTTCGATTCGTGTGAAGCACCGCTTGACAGGTGGCCTTGACCGCCATGGACCGCCGGGTCACCAACCTGGAGGATTGTCTCGAGGACGGGGGTGGATGGTGAAGGGTCAGAGGATCTCAGACGTTTGATGAGTTTGATGGGCGAATTGAACGAATTGGATTAGTATGGATTGGTGGTGATTGGTTTGAAGGGGCTGTTTGTTCGTGGGCTTTGCTGGGAGTAACAAACCACCCAGATCCGAGGTTGGATCCTGGACAGCAAGTGAATTGGACGAACTTTTCAGCTGAAGCACTGCTGGGGAAGATAGGTTGATTGGTCCCTAACCTTTACAAGCAGCTCTCCCTTTCAAATCCGGCAACAAGGGATGACAGAATTCCATCTAGGGGAGCAGGAAGTGATACGGAAGGCCTCAGATTTCAGGATGCCAAGTTGCAGGTCAACCAACGGCCGAGGGAAAATTTCATGCACCCTGGAACTGGTCAGAGAATGTATGGGACCCATGATAGTGCGACCATGTTGCTAGATTGGTACTTTCAATGATCCAGTAAGCCATAGTAAGCCACAGCCAACTTCTCCTGGTAGAGCACCCCGGCAGCATTCCAAGGACTCGCTAGTTCCATTCTGCTAGCAGCAGGTGGATAGCAATGACCTTGGTCATAGTAGGTGGTATTGATGCGACCGTGGGATTTTACGATTGACAGGACAAGCTTTATGACCTTGTTCGGATGGATGCCAACAAGCAGCTTGACCAGGATGAGTGTCAGTGCTGATTCCGTCGATGTTTGATTCCGTCATGAATTTCTGGGAAGACCCCTTCATTTCAAACAGAATGTCTAGGACGCGGCAAAATATTATATATCCCTTTTGGCACAACTTGGTCCCACGGCGGCAACAGCCCAAGCACGGATGTATCGTGATGTACGCTGAAAACATGGGCCGTGTTGCTGCCGTGTTGTGTTATTGTTTTGCTATTGGGTTTGATTCATGTACCGTTGGGTTTTGTGTCAGCCGTGGATCTGGGGATATTCCATGTTTGTCAACCTGTGTATTTAGACATGTTTGGACCATATATGACCATAAGTTCAATGTAGACAACTGCCAGGACACGCTGTTTGTCGTGCAGCCCACGGTTGTGTCACTGGTCTGTTCGACGTTCGACTGCAAACGCTCGCTCCGAGACCGAGGCCTCCGAGCTTTTCCACCAGACTGAAAACGAGTTGCGCAATTCGACGATTGCGTTGGACCACATCATATGATAATTAATAGTATATATATTATTATATATATATCATTTGACAACAATATGTGCATGTGTTTATCTTCTTTTCTTCGTTCCATGAACTGAAAATGTCGCCACCAATTTGGTGGTCCCAGACATCTTCCTCCCAAAGCCCCGAACACACAGAAAACACAGTGGATCTTCTTCGCGCACGTTACCCGCAGATCCGCGATAACCCGCGCGCTGATTCCAGGCGCGCGGCGTTGCAGCAGGGCCACCTACAGGAGATGGAGCAAAAGGTCGACAAGCCCGGGAGACCTGAGTGAAACTGACAAAGCAGCGTGTGGGGCGGACGTGCAGCGGAAGATCGTGTGGGACGTATTTTTGTTGGAGGGCGTAGCGTAGGCCAGGGGCCGAAATATGTTTTGGATGGCGGGAGCAAAGAACATCTAAATTAAGTTAACTATAATTAAATGATATATCGAAATTATGTTTTGCTTGAAGGTTGTCATTGCAGGTTGCGGGTTCTTGACTGACACCCACAAAGTCACTTTGAAATACTTTGAATATCTTAGCACTATAGATCAACAACAACCAGGTTTCACGGTTTAACTTAATTTTACTCTCAGTCTACTTCTCCTAATGTGCGATGTTAAATGCAGTGTTCTGATGCGCATTACGCGGAGACATCATGCACCTAGAGCAAGGCATGATATGCACAGTTTGGTTTTCATGAGTTTGTAGAGACCTGTATGCCATGCGACGATACAAGTGTGCTTCGACATTTCCAAATTCTAATCAACACCCAATCCATTCCTTATCAACTGTCAACCCACCACGGCCAGGCGTCCCGAAATTCTTTGTTTTGTGGGCCGTAGCCTCTCGACATGTTCCCACAACATATCCACAGATATTCTCGACATTCCACTGTCTTAAAGTTGTTGTGCTCAGTTTATCCAATCGCGAACTTACACGAATGGACTGACTTGTTTGTCAAGAAAAACACTGTTTGCTCCCCATCAATCAACAAACAAGTAGAGCTGCTTTCCAGAGCCTTTGTATTCTGTTTCCGTAGTATTCTTGCCAACCGATATTCTCACCAACCGATACTATAATATTCTCTTCACACAACAGTAGAGCTTGGTGTTGCCAATGCGAATCTCCTTTCCGAAGGTATGAACTCGTGCCCTGGGCTCCCACCTATCCTCAGATGAGCAGCTCGATGCATGTACATCAGCTCGCCAACAGATCCCGGATGTTTCACAAGAGCCAGATGTTGAACGAACCAATCCTTTGCACCTTTCCGTCCACCGAGTTTGCTCGGCCACGGCTGAGGTTGGTGCACACGCTTCACACCCCCTCGGGCCATGAAACGGCCTCCTTCAGTGCCCCGGGGCCCTTGCACTCGCGAGATGCCTGGCGAGAGCAGTTCCGCTCCGCCTTGCGGCTGGGCGGCAGAGGTGAGAATGGAACATGGAGGATCGCCATGGGATAGATGCTTAAACGTGTTTCTACTTCAGAATCCATGTCAGTCCAATTCAATCTGATATAGTCTATAGTCATATTTATATATACACATGTATGTACGTAGTACACATATTGTCTATATCCAAATAAACAGATGGTCAACAGTGAGGACCCAGCAGGTAGAACCTTTTTATCAGACCCCCCACGACTGGTCTTGGTCGTGTCAGAGGTCGGTCAGACTTGAGACGACCAAAAGACCAAACGACTTCTGTGTCGTCCTATCATGGATCCAGACGTTCTAGCTAGCTTTTTGAATCATCTGGGGCAGGATGGAAGTCCATGGATGAAATCGTGCCGTGGTTTTCGCACCCAGGTATGAGCATGGATTCTCCAGCGCATGTTTGCTCGTGTTCTTTGTTTTTCTTTCACAATCTTGCACCGTGCTTTTACTCTTGATGTACAAAACTACAAGACCTGACTATGGAGTGATGAGATAAACCAGTTTACACTTTACACGTAATCATTTTCATAAACCTGCAGGTTCAAAGTTCATGTTCTTAGACCAGCATCCCGGACCAAAACGACAAAACCAGTCCACCCATGTCCTCCCGGTGCTTCCAATTGGTGAAGACCAGGCGTGGCGGAAAGCCACCGGAAGATGTCCTGAGCGGTCCTGAGGAACGACTCCAGCTACGTGAAGAGGGCCTTGCAGACCACTCGAGCTTAAGCGAGCGACTTCCGCTCCCGGAGCGAGCAGGGGATTGTTACCGCAGCTGGGAGTTTGGGAGAGTGTCCGCCATCTCATATGTTGCCAATCAGGTTTTCAAACACTTGCCGTGGCAGCAACAACTGGAAGGTTACTGTATAATACATTATAATACTGTATACATTTGCATATGACGTTTGATCCTCGTAATTACTTGTACTGCAAAAAACAGCTTTTGCAGATTGCAGAGGTTTCCTTTCTACAGCAAACAGTTTTTTAGCAGAGTGGGTTCCCTCTCTACATCTTTCTACAGCTTCGAATCAAGTCCAAGAAGTTGAAGCCCTGCTTGTATCTCCTTCTTCTTTGTTTTGATCGTAGAGGGCACCGGAACACCCAGGGAGAGCTTTTGGGATGAGCGAACGCGCTCTTCCCGCGTGCGAGATCTTGGGACCCTTGACGGCTTGGACTCCAGCGAGACGTGAAATCGATTTTGGACGGTTTGATGTTGATTTTGGACGGTTGACGGTTGGTGCTTGCAGTACTAGCCAGCTGGGGCCCTGGACGGTGAGATTTGCTGAATGATGAACCTGGTCGGTCGAACCTGGTTAACACAAAAAAAACAGAAGGTACTGATATAGTAACAGTCATCTACTTATGGATATGATGTTTACTGAGTC